ATACCCACTGTGATGAAAAAAAAAAAAACTCTATAATGTGCGTTTTTTTATGGTGAATTCTCAAAATGTGGGATTTTTTAAATCAATTCTCAAAAAATGGGGTGCTCTCTGAATTTCTTCCTAAATAGTGAAAAATTGCATTTGATGAGTTCGTTCTTTCCTTAATTAAAAGATATACGGCCTTGTTTGGAACCCAAGTTTTTTAAAAATTTTAGTTACAGTAACTTCAAAAAATTTCTCAAAATTTTTAAACTATATACTTCAAAATATTCAAAAATCTACACATTTCAAAATTTTTTTAAAAAACTTCTACAGTAAGTTACAGTAAAGTTTTAGACAAATTCTCAAAAAACTTACCTTCCAAACAGGAGGCTACAGTAAGCTACATTCGTGTATGCATTATTTTACTGAATTAAATTTTTATCTATTATTAGATTTTAGTGTAGTGGATATTTTTTTTTTATACTAACAGATGTAGACCAAAAAGTGAATATCAAATTTGAAATTAGATTATGTAAAATGTATTTACACCAATTTGTGTATATACTTACGGTACATAAAAAATTACTCTATTTTGTTTGATTAGGTTTTTTTTTTTTTTTTTTTGCCCAGAATTTGTATCGAGCAAAAGGAAGAATAATAAAAGCCGTTTTCTTCTGTTGCGGCTCCAGAATTTTCACCCTCAAGAGTTGACCAGTGGCTTTTGGGTTTTCGATCAACGAAGAAGAAAGCCTGAGTGCTCTTTTTGGTGAACTCTAAAGCAACCAAGAAATCCATTATACAAGATCTATAGCTAGCTTGTCCAGATTGGCCTGTCTTAAATTAAATGACGTTTCTTATTCGTTTTCAGGTCTGAAAAAAACAACAAAAATCATTCAACTAGCCTCCCCACTTCCACAATAAATTTGAAGTAGCAGACTCGATCAACTACTGAAAAAGCAGCTAGTGATCAAAAAATCAAGGAATTTAAGACGACCTGCTTACTTCTTCCACGCGTGCAATAGCTTAATAAATCATCACATCCAGTTCATATATACTTTGAGACTCGTACTAACTACAGTACGTACCTATTTATTCTTCTACTAAGACTTTTAACCTCCGCATGCATTTCTGTCTCATCTTCTGCCAGAGCTGCTGCTATTCGGCTGCATTCAAAGTCAAATGAGTTTTCCTTTCTTTAAGCTTTTTACTTGAGACTGCAGAAGATACAAATGTACAACAACTTCGTGACTGGGATACGTTTCCTAAATATATAATATTGCGGATCCATTCGGCAATGCGGTTAATTTTGCTGTACACTGCAAAACGGGCATTCTGATGTGTCCCTAATCTGCTTCTGGCCGATTCTGTGAAGTTTTTAGCAGACCCTAGTGACATGAGCACTTAGCAGCTGAAAGCGTCAAGTTTCTTATCAGCTCATCTAAGACAATCTGCTAGCTAGGAGATGCGCAATATCACCATGCAAAAACCCTCCTGAGTTCATGAAGCCATACACATGTTCTGATTTTCAGGTGCCATCCCACTACTAGTAAGTAGTAATTGCGAAAGAATGAGCAACTAAGAGAATCAACTTTTCATCCCCCGTCGGAGTGCAACCCTATTGTCTCTTAACTGTTACGTCAAGATCATCATAAGCTTATGATTATCATGATCTCATATCTGATGAATGACCTCTTATCATATGTTGAGGTTACGCAGTAGAGTACAAGCATTACTGTCCAAGGACTTTTACACCTAAGCAGCTGGAATTAGACATTCCCCTAATTAAATAATATATGGTAACTTGACAATGTATTGGAAAGACTCTATGGCTACCAACTACCAAACGAAGGCGTTGACAAAGCTGTTTTGAATAGACCTGCATGTTTGAACCCCCAATAAAAGATTAGATAGGAATATGACTAATACGGCAGGCCAGTTTTCCCTCCCCCTCCAAGTGGCAGCAAATTGAGAGACTGCTTTCTTCTCCCACCAGCCACCTTTTATTGTTAGCTACATAATGAGTACAAACAGAAATGGCCAAAATCCCATAGCATTATTATAATTGTTTTCCAAAACGGGGAATGTTCCGTCCAGTTTTTCTATAGCCTGACAATTTGTTGATCGCGCAAAATAAGAATGAACAGGACTCTCAGAACATTGCAAAGCAATGGATGGGTCGCTACCTCCTCTCATGGTCTCCTCAGGGTTTTTTCCCGCTGGGGGTTTGCTCGAATCACTGATCCACATCTCTAACGAGGTTACTTCGATCGAAAAATTTCCTTCTGTACAGGTTAAAAACATATCAACGATGATAAGCAGGATCAGACTTCTTTCTTCCTTGTTTGAAGAGATTCAAGAAACAAGTGGCACCCTTCCTCCATCCTCAGTCTTATGCCTTACAGAGCTTTTCTCTGTTATACGAAGAGTGAAATTCTTGATAGAGAGTTGCAAGGAAGGAAGTTCTCTATGGAATCTAGTTCAAACGGAGTTTGTTTCGAATCAATTCTATGCAGTAGTCAAGGAGATGGGAAGAGCACTGGACATCCTTCCCCTCAGCTTGCTTAATCTTACAATGGACACCAGGGAGCAAGTCGAGCTTCTCCACAAACAGGCAAAAAGGGTTGAATTGTTCCTTGACCGCCGAGAGATTCAGAGAAGAGATGAGCTTCTTCAACTTATGTCCAATAAAGCTCATAAGAACGTCAAGAATAAAGGTTCCTCTGATTATGGTAAAGTCAAAGAGATATTAGGCACCATTGGGCTGAGAAGCCCCTTAGATTATGAAGAGGAGATTTCAAAGCTAGAGGCAGAAGCTGAGAAGCAGGCAGGCACTGGTGGACTCATCGTGGTCTCAAACATCAAGAATCTGATATCCCTGGTCTCCTTATCAAAAACTGTGATCTTCAGCGAAGAAAAAAATCAGAAGATCAAGGAGGATCAAAAGCTACCCACTGCTCATCTTACTAGCCGTTACGATCAGCCCTCGTCTTCCCAATCACTGATTCTCAACATCCCTGATGAATACCGCTGCCCAATATCACTTGACTTGATAAGGGACCCGGTCATAGTCGCATCTGGCCATACTTATGATCGAAGTTCAATCGCACAGTGGATTAATTCAGGTCATCATACATGCCCAAAAAGCGGGCAACGCTTGATACACATGGCCCTCATACCCAATTACGTGTTGAAAAGTCTGATTCATCAATGGTGCCAGGAGAATAATATTCCAATGGTGGAATCTGCATTATCCTCTTCAGATTTGGGAAGGAGTAGTAGTAAAAGAAAATTATGTGCAAATGCAGTAGATCATATTTCTGCCACTAAAGCTGCAGCAGATGCAGTCAAAATGACGGCTGAGTTTTTAGTGGGGAAGCTGGCGACAGGATCACCAGATATCCAGAGACAGGCAGCATACGAGATTCGGCTACTTGCAAAAACTGGCACGGACAATCGCAGGATCATAGCAGAAGCAGGACCTATTCCATTCCTTGTAACTCTGATGAATTCTCATGATCCAAGAATCCAGGAAAATGCAGTGACTGCTCTGCTCAACCTTTCCATATATGATAACAACAAGACGTTGATTATGTCTGCTGGTGCAATTGACAACATAATTGACGTTTTACAATCAGGAAAAACAATGGAGGCAAGAGAAAATGCAGCAGCAGCAATCTTCAGTTTGTCCATAGTAGACGATTACAAGATATTCATTGGAGCCCGTCCTAGAGCCATTCCGGGCTTAGTTCGGCTCCTAGGAGAAGGGACTACAGCTGGGAAAAGAGATGCAGCAATAGCACTTTTTAACCTTGCAGTTTACAATGTTAATAAGGTCAGTGTCGTTCTCGCTGGAGCAGTTCCACTGCTCATTGACCTGTTGTTAGATGACAAGGCTGGGATCACCGATGATGCATTAGGCGTGCTTGCCCTCCTGCTTGGATGCAGTGAAGGATTAGAAGAGTTAAGGAAGAGTAGGATCTTGGTTCCTCTTCTTATCGATCTCCTGAGATTTGGATCTTCCAAGGGAAAGGAGAATTCGATAACTCTGCTGGTCGGGCTATGCAAGGATGGTGGTGAGGATGTTGCGAGAAAGCTGTTAATGAATCCACGAAGCATTCCATCGCTCCAAAGCTTGGCTGCAGATGGATCTTTAAAAGCTCGAAGAAAAGCCGACGCTCTTCTTAGGATACTGAATAGATGCTGTTCTCAATCTCGGAATCCTGTTGGGTAACACAGATTTAACTAGATTGCTAAACGAAAATGTAAATTGTGTTGACTCGAAACTGCCATGCGGCTTAACTTCATCACATGGCATCCTACAGTTGTGCTTCAATAAAGAATCTCCTCGTAATTTTCTCATTAGACCAACAAAATTGTCAACGCAAACTCTAGTGGTTCTGTCTGCATGAGAAAGCAATCAATATAGAAACAGAGATTGAGATCAAGATACCTGAAGCAAAATATGTTATGCATTACTAATTGCCAATAAAGTGAAGCTGTTAAGTCAATAAGCAGAGCATAGGGTACGTATGAGAGCAAAAGGATCAAAATCACCAATTAACATGAATCAACGCCAGCCACACAGCAAAAATTCCATGCTCGAGAATAATTATATCAAGAACCTGACATTAAAAAGCAAGAGTTCAGAAAAATTGACCTTTGAGCTGACTACATACGACAGAAATGCTACAACCAGAACCGCTGTTGCTCTTAAGGAGACTAAATGGCAATTTGTTTTATTCCATCACAGGTTATATGCAGGAGGCTAACAAAGCAGTCCAATTGTGTCAGTAAAACTCAGCATTCGAAAGAGTAAATAACGTTGAAAGAGACAACTGGGATTTCTCTTGTACGTTTGATGCCAGAGACGGAAAAATAAACTGCAGAAAGTAATACTAGAAGCAAGCACGAAATGACAATACTAGAAGCATATTCCCCCCAAGTTTAAGTTTACAAAATTGTCAGTAGAAGAAAAGATAACCTTAAATTATTCTTGAAGTTGAATTTCAAACTCATCGTGAGAAAAGAACTGATAAATAGCTTTTATTGCTGAAAATCATAAAATGTACTTGTACATGCTTTACGCTGAAGATACAAACAACAGATACTGTAACTGACTATCTCCACTCTTGTTGAACATATTATCCCTAAAATTGATAACTAGTTCAACAACAAGGGATTCAATTTGCTTTTGTGCGTCTTATCTATAGACCAGGACAGGATGAACTTCTGTTCAACCCACCAGCTCAGGGAGGGACTATAATCAGCATTTGAGCACAAGTTCATGTGAACCATGATTCACAAAACATTCAGTGAAATGAGGCAAGTCTTCTATAACTCGACCAACTCCAATTGAATATGAGTGCCCTCTATCTTATAGCTCCAAAACCAGCTTCCAGACTCCACCCATTTTTCTTCAACAGCTCTTAGTTGTACTTGTAAACCTGAAATCAGAAGTACGAGTACGATACAGTGTGATCAATATTAAGAAAGCCATTCATTTAAAGAAGGGAAAAAATAGAGTTCAATAGGACACAGGACAACAGGATGTGTTTTTCAAGACTGTCAATGCATAGCAATACATTTGTCTCACTTAGAGAACAGACAAAGGCAAAAAATAGTTTTCAGTTTATTGCATGGGTAAGATGAGGAAATCTAGCAAAGGCAAGGATCTGTTGCACCTATTCAATGGGGGTGCAAAGAGTTGAGAATGGTAGGATTCTTATTGTAAATTTAGTATTTAGCAGTAAATGTAAATATCTTAGACAAAAATACATCTGCAACTTATCCTGCTCACAAGTTGGAACTTGCAGCATGCACAATGCAATCCTTTATATATAGCAGCTGAGAAGGTTGATGAAAACAACATGTTACAGACATTATAAACATAAACATAAAACTAGCCTTGTGAAACATCGAAAAAGTGTATTCATACAAAATGAAGCGATTTAAACTAATATAACAGTAAAGTAACTGTAGTACCTGATTTCCCAGAGGTAACCCTCATTCTGTAGCCATCAGGAACTTCAAACAGATGATTGCCCTACATCCAACAACATACAACAAAGTATGAGGAGACAGAAGTTTCCTTTGGCAGAACTATTTACCCGTCACTAGATGCTCGTTAACAAGGAGTTGACTCTCTTATCTGGATGTTTACGGAATAAGGAATGCGTTTGAACTGGTTTGTCCCTTTAAATTTTCGAAACTCTTCATTATCCTTATCATTAAGGTAAAGCTTCATAAAGCTCGAAAATGCAACTTTTTGCATCCTAAATTACTTCCCCTGCAGACAAGAAAAATATGCATAAAGGACAATCACTAGGTCCACGTGAATTTACCTGCAGGGTGACATCCATTGCTTCAAATTCAGCATTTCCATGGAGTATAACCTTCACAGCCTCGATCCGGTCCACATCATGCTTCCAATACAAGTTGTCTCCTGAATTCCAGTCAATTCCTTTGTTCACTACCTTAACATTTTCTAACTTACATCTTCCGCACCTGCATGAGCAAAGTGACTTATAAAGTTACTTGTCTCACAATGATTATTCTTCAGAAGAAGAAAGATGTAGCAAACAGTTCCACCTCTTCCCATACTGCAGTACTGTTTCGCCATTCTCATTAATGATCATAGATCCCATGATGTTTTCCGCCAAAATTATCAGACTTCCGTGAAGCTAAAATGAAAGAAATAAATCAGCTGATAAGCAAACTGACAAGGAGGAATCACCAATATCAACCAAGGTATCTGACCTGCACATCTCTCCACACGAACTCTGCAACTTCTACTTGCAACTCGGAACCCATTGATATTGAACCTCCATGAAACTGATATAACAGACAAACTTAAGGTTGATGCTATATATTTTCATTACATAAAATAAAGCATAGTCTTTCTAAATGAAATTTTAATAATTCTGACCATGAAATATGCAATACAATAGGTTAGTGAACTATTTTTAATCAATTAAGGATCTTCACAACTAAAAGAAGGTCAAAAAAAAAAAGAAAGAAACAGAATCCTGTTATGTTGCCCAACTACAGGAGAAAATTAGCAGTCATGAAGAATTGATCTTCTCAGATACTATTCTACAACTCTCTGAACATTGAGCATCAAGTTGAAGCTCAGTTTGGAAGTTCCATTAGAAAGATCTATCAAGCACTAAGCAGTCCAAAAAGAGAAAAACCAGTTTTGTTTGAAACCCAAATTGTATCAGTTCATTGAGACTTACTTTCTGTCTGGTAACTTCCCAAAGAGGGCCTAAAGCAGGATGAAGCAGGATAAGAAATGGGGGCCCTGAGTCAACATAATCTTCATTACCAAGAATCTGGAGAATGATAAATCATAGCTTTAATAAAACATGAGGTAGAGAGTTAGAACCAGACATACTGTATAAGCATAACATTGAATCCGATTAGAAGAGCAACAAATCTGAAATTATGCAATCTCAGCACTAACATTATAAGTGATACTCCTCTTAATAATACCTTAGGGATGCTTATCTGACAGTGCGAGAGAAGGTCGGCTGCATTACGCATGATATCCAGTATAGAACCTTCTGGAGTCTGCAAGAAAGCAATGAAGACCATTCTAGATATAAGTAATACAATGCAAGACTTCCCATAATCCAAGCTTCAGAAATTTCAGGCAGAATTGGAAAACTGAAGCATAAACAAGAGATTAAAAATCAAACGTTTAGAGATTAACCTTTATTTTGGGTAGGCTTGCAAAGACGTTAGAAAAATGGAAAAAGGCACAAAATGATGGTTTGACAAATAAAATGCAGGGCCTTGGAAACTAATGTGCATGATTATCCCAAAATTCTACAATGATAACTAGTTCAACTTAACCAATTTCAGACAATTATCTGGTTGCAACTTTCTTAAAGTGTCGTACTCTTGATTAGACTAAATAAAGCTTAAACCTGATGAAACTTCCAAACTACAAGCAAATGGTTAGAATGGGACAAAGGAAACCAGATTACAAATTTCTAATGTGAAATTGTGCTAAACCATAAAGAGTTTTAAGTTTCTGTTTGCCTAAATCTGATATAAAAATCAGGGAAACAAAAGAAGGAACAACTGCACAGTATGAATTATGAAATGCCACCATTGTAAACAGACAAACATTTGAAGTAGTGGCAGTTAGGCAAACCAAGTTAAGCCAATTCTATGTAATCAATGATTTAAGTTTTGTTAATGAGTATGTTTTGTTAATGAGTATGAACTTTTGTCGTGGATTGCACGCAAGACATTATCAACAATCTCCTAAGTTAACAAAGTTTGGGACCACTAGTTAGGAGAAACTCCTAAAAAGGAAGGACATGTTCTAACTTCTTCTATCATCATATAGAACAACAATGAGAAAAATAGTCACATAAGATCATAAAAGTATATCGACATCTTAAATTCTAGCTTCAACAGGCAGCGAATGACAGGCTGAATATATCCAGAAAAGAAAAAAAAAAAGAGAAATGATATCAAGATACTACACCTGGTTTAAAGATTTATTCCCATGCATTCTTTTCTTCTTAGCAGATGATGTGACCTTCCTTCTTTCATTGTAAACAATAAAGGTATCTAGACCTTCTGCAGTCATCAACAGAATCTATATCACAATCATACCTGAGATATAATCCCAAGAACTGATAAAAATGCAACATACAATAGATGTCAACATTCAAGTACCTTCTACATCCTCATAATGTCGAGATGAGTAAGTGTTAAAAAAATTATCTGCAATATTTTGCATTGTGCATTCCAGACGGCCACCAGAAACACTGGACAATTAAAAAGCCATAGCATTAAATAGAGTATCCTGATAACAACTTATTGAAAGAGGAAAGTGTTAACAATGTTAGTCAAAAGAGAACCAGACGTGGATGAAAAAGAACACATGCCTCAAAGTTGACAGGTCAGAATATTATACCAAATCCTTTAAAACTGTTAGGAGAATATCAGTATTCTTGTAGATAATATTAGTAAGAGTATTCTTGTAAATAGTTGGTTAGGTTTGTGCTCCTATAAATACTAGTTGATCACTCATAATACAGTGACTAGATGTTTTCCTCCCAAGATACCTGTTGACATGGTATCAGAGCCAGAACGTGGGAGGGGTGAAGTGCTAAAGTTCTAGAGTTAGGGTTAAACATCTAGCAAAAATCTTGATGCAATACTATTCATCGTGCACTATTCACGCGCTACTGTTCATCATGCACTGTTCATGCGATACTGTTCACGCATACTGTTCATCGTGGCACTGTTCACGGCTGTTCACGGCGCACTGTTCATCACGAATTCTGATTGCTGTTTTGTTTGAAGTGCTATTCGCTATGGTTGAAAGTTTTGCTAATGGGGTTACCACTGACCAAGTTGAATCAAGTTCTTTAGCACATGGGTCCCAAAAGACTGTTACTATATCCGAGGAAGATTATGTTAAATTCCTACAGTACCAAGGTACAAATCATATAGCACAAAAAGGTAATGACTCATGGATTATTGACTTCGGGATTACTAATCATATGTCAGGTACCTCTAAAAATTTTTTTAATTTTCAAGAGTCTACTTCCTTACCTCATGTTTCTTTAGCTGATGGATCTACCACTAAAGTTAAAGGACTAGGCACTGTAGAAATTAACCCATCTCTTCTACTGTCTTCTGTTTTTTACGTACCCACTTTGCCCTTTAATCTAATATCTGTTAGTAAGCTCACTAAATCTCTACAGTGTTCTGTTACTTTTTCTCCTAATTTTGTTGTCATTCAGGATTTGAAAACAAAGAGGACGATTGGTGGAGGGCATGAGCATAATGGTCTTTATTTTCTCAACTTCAATGGTCCGATTACATGTCCTGCTACTGTTTCTCCTCTTGAAATTCACTGTCGTTTGGGTCATCCGTCTTTACAAAATTTGAAAAAGTTGGTTCCTACTTTAAGTCCGTTGTTTTCGCTAGAATGTGAGTCTTGTCAGTTAGGAAAGCATCATCGTATTTCTTTTGCTCCTAGAGTCAATAAACGGGTTTCTAAACCCTTTATACTAGTTCATTCTGATGTTTGGGGTCCTAATCGAGTCGCTTCAAAGTTAGGTTTTAAATATTTTGTAATCTTTGTTGATGATTTTTCAAGAGTTACATGGCTTTATTTAATGAAAGATCGTTCAGAACTATATTCCATTTTTTGTGCATTTGTTACAGAAATAAAGAATCAATTTGGTGTGCCTGTACGTATACTTCGCAGTGATAATGCGAAAGAATATTTTTTCACTCCTTTTAATACCTCCATGACTAAGTCCGGTATTATTCATCAGTTCTCTTGTCCTGACACTCCACAACAGAATGGAGTTGCTGAAAGAAAAATTGGACACTTAATCGAGGTTGCTCGGACACTTATGTTGCACATGAATGTGCCCAAACAATTTTGGAGTGATGCAGTTCTAATTGCATGTTATTTAATTAATCGCATGCCATCTAATATTCTTGGAGGCTAATTACCTCACTCCGTCCTTTTTTCTCATGAATCTGTATTTAAATTACCTCCTCGTATTTTTGGGAGTGTGTGTTTTGTTCATCAGCTTACTCTCGAGGTAGATAAATTAGATTCTCGTGCCATTAAGTGTATTTTCTTAGGATACGCACGAGCGCAAAAGGGGTATAGATGTTACAGTCCAATTTTAAATCGTTTTTTCACTTGTGCTGATGTTACTTTCTTTGAATCCACTCCTTATTTTATGAAATAAGGTATGTCTTGTGAGTTAGACCAGTGTTCCTCTTTTCCTTCTCCTATTTTGCCAATCCCTTCACTTTTATTACCTGAATTATCTAATTCACCAGATACCACAACTCGATTATCTCGTCCTAATTTTTAAATTTATTCTCGTCGTTCCATGGCTGAAAAAGCTCCTGATATGCTATGCACTTCACCAATTAACTCTCAATTTTCAAATCCAGGTATGACGCCCTCCTATAAGTCAGATCTTCCTATTATTTTACGTAAAGGTAAGAGACATTGTACTTCTCATCCTATTTCTAATTTTGTCTCTTATTCTCGTCCCTCTTTGTCATATTCTTCTTTTGTTGCTTCCCTTGATTCGATATCCATTCCTAAGTCTATTACCCATGCTCTCAATGATCCTAATTGGAGATTAGCTATGCAAGAAGAGATGCTTGCTATGGAGAAAAATGGTACTTGGGATCTTGTTCCTCTTCCTTCTGGTAAGCCGGTTGTTGGTTGTAAATGGAAGTACACTATAAAAGTACAACTTAATGGTTCTATTGATAGATTGAAGACTCCTCTGGTAGCTAAAGGATTTGCTCAGGTGTATGGAATCGACTATTTCGAAACATTTTTTCCAGTTGCAAAGATTACCTCTGTTCGTCTACTTATCTCTTTGGCAACCACTTATAATTGGCCATTGCATCAGTTGGATGTGAAAAATATATTTTTGCATGGAGATTTGGAAGAAGAGATATATATGGAACAACTTCCTGGATTTGTTGTTCAGGGGGAGAATCCACGGTTGGTTTGTCGTTTGAAAAAATCCTTGTATAGATTGAAACAGTCTCCGAGGGCTTGGTTTGGCCGGTTTAGTAGTGTTGTTATGAAGTTCGATCTGACAAGATGTGGAGTAGACCACTCTGTATTTTATCGACATTCTAATATTGGTAAAATTTTATTAGTTGTTTATGTGGATGATATTGTGATTACAGGTGATGATGTTGTGGAAATCCAGAAACTTAAATCCAATCTGCAGGCAAACTTTCAGACAAAAAATTTAGGTCATATACAGTATTTTTTGGGTATTGAGGTAGCTCAGTCTAAATATGGGATTTATTTATATCAAAGGAAATATGTACTAGATATATTGAGTGAAGTTGGGATGTTAGGTTGCCGACCTGTGAATACTACTATGGATCCCAATGTGAAATTAATAGGAGATCAAGGTGCATTACTTGATGATCCTAGACAATATAGAAAACTTGTGGATAAATTAAATTATCTCACTGTAACAAGACCTGACATTTCGTTTGCAGTGAGTGTTGTGAGTCAATTTCTTGATACCCCTCGTACTAGTCATTGGGATGCTGTTATACGAATTCTCAGATATCTTAAGAGTGCTCTTGGAAAAGGGTTGCTGTATCAAAATCATGGGCACACTGATATTGAAGGATATAGTGATGCAGATTGGGCTGGTTCTGCCTCAAATCGAAAATTGAACATAGAATATTGTGTGTTTGTTGGTGATAATTTAATGTCGTGGAAGAATAAGAAGCAAACAGTTGTCTCCAGATCAAGTGCAGAATCTGAATACCGCGCTACGACTCACACTGTGTGAGTTGGTTTGGTTGAAGAGCATGTTACTTGAAATTGGATTTGAGCATAAACAGCCTATGAATTTAGTGTGTGATAATCAGGCGGCTGTCTATATTGCGTCTAACCCAGTGTTTCATGAAAGGACAAAACATATTGAAATTGATTGTCACTTCATTCGAAAGAATTGCTTGATAGAGTCATCAAGACATCTCATGTACCGTCTGTAAATCAATTGGCTGATTTATTTACCAAGAGTTTAGGAGGCTCTAGGGTGAAATACATTTGTAACAAGTTGGGTGCTTATGATATATATGCTCCAACTTGAGGGGGAGTGTTAGGAGAATATCAGTATTCTTGTAGATAATATTAGTAAGGGTATTCTTGTAAATAGTTGATTAGATTTGTACTCCTATAAATACTAAATAGTCACTCATAATACAGTGACTAAATGTTTTCCTCCCAAGATACCTGTTGACAAAAACTAATATTGTGAATCATCCTCATACAACTTCTTGGATTCAATGGAACAATGGGGATTTACACTCCACACCTGGTAAACAGATTAAACTTCACTCCCATGTTAAAGGAGTGATGTGTGTGCTCTGGTTTACAAGCTATAAACTTTGTTTCCTCCTTTTTCTAGAAAACGATAAATCATATAGATTATTAGTGTTTGATGCCATCATTTACATGGTAATGTTGTTAGCTATAAGCAGAATATTGTACTACTTAAGTAAATCTATGACTATAGGATATTAAGCTGCTGAAAATAAGCTCTTAGTCAACTCGATAAAAGAATAAAAAGACACTTGCATCACATACAGTGCACACTTAGTAAGTCAAAATGAGAAAATAAGAGATGCCAGCATTATAACAAGCAATCAATTAGCAGAATTCAAAAATAAAGTGCTGCAATTCTGCAAGGGATATAGCAAACAAGTAGATTTCAAATTAACTCTTCCACCAAAAGAAGGAAAAAAAAAAAAAACACAGTCATTATAGTATCCAATGTTTGTGCAACAGAAGAAAAGAGAAGATATGTTGATTCATTATATTAAAAAATAAAATAAAATAACACTACGAAGACCTATCTGCGTACCTGTGCGTCAGGCCAAACTGGTCAACATATCTTACTGGCTTCTTCACATTAAGTACCATGCCTGGCAAGCTGGTTTCATTTTTACTTGATCCAACAAGCTCTGCTGAAGGCAAATCTACATATAGGATATTTGTGTTGGCTGGAAAGTCTGCCTCCAAACTTCACAAAAGGAAAAAGGTTCAGGTTGGAAAATACTCTATCATCTTCTGCTAAGAGGTTACGGTAAAACAGATTATCAAGACAAGAGAACAATCCCCGAGAGAATTACCAACAACTAGCAAGAACCAAATGGTCAACTATAAGTTACATTGCAAAACAGTGGGTAACATTTCAGCATACAAAACTATCCTATGACAGAAATAACCGAAAAGCAAGATACTATTTAATCATTCTTCGAAGTTTCCTTCCATTTCACACAGAATAATTTCTTATCATCATCTGAAGTTTAATATTCAGTGTGACTACTACACCTTGTTGCTATGCTACTGCAAGCTTTGAAAAGGAAAAGAATAATGCAAGCGAGACGATAAAAAAAAAGAGGAAAATTCTCATTCTCCCCAGCCGTGTTTACACCAGTATAGCTTTACTGTCAATAAATAATGAATCAGGCTATTAAGCAACCTAGAGGAAGTCTTTAAATCACAAATATGCATCATACGTAAGGGCAGTGATAAACTTGGATACCAACCTCAATTACCATACAATACCACCTTTTAAAAAGTCTTAGTATGACATCAGATGATCTTTTAGATAAAGTTTGACTCTTAATTTTTCATGTCTCTTTCAGATGAAGAGATGGGCATTTAATGATAATGACAAGAAATGTGTCAAACTCGGAAAAAAGTTGGAGCATACTTTTATTTAAAGAGATTGTCTGGAAAAAGAAAACGATGTCAAATTTTGACATGAACGAAAAAAGGTTAAATATGTTAGTAATGCTATAAAAGAACAACAGGAAGAAAAGTACCTTTTAGAAGAAAGAGGTCCATTGATAATTCCAAATTTATCGAATTCAGTGTACTCAATACATGACAAACCATATGCCCACTTGTCATCAAGAGTCCTTTTCTCGATCAGGACATTTATGCCTTCTGTTGCCCCCGTGTTTCTTCTACATGAAGCAAAGCCTAATTTCTGAAATAATAGTAGTTAACTAACAGAACATTAGTAATTAGTATATCAGAAAAACAATACAAGCATCCCTCCAAGAAATTATTTTATCACAAAAATCTTGAGGACATGGCTTCCTTGATAAAAGATTGGTAAAATCCTACTATGCTCAGTTGCACTATCAGAAGTAACACCAGCACCTAAGAATCGAAATCCTTTTAGTGTTAGAGCTCCTCCAAAGTGGCTTAAAATTGGAAGAAAGACACATATGTTGACATAACAGTGGTTCTTGCTGATTTACATTTGATTCATATTCAGCCACAACTGCACTTGGATGAGAATATTTCCTTTTCAATGTGGTCTGTCAATAAGGAACAATACTTCCAGTGAAATGGATAAAAGTAATTCATGACAGATGCATACACGAGTAAAATTGGGTACTTATTTACTGCACGACGGCAATAGTTGCAGTAAACACCTCCCATCCTCCTTCCCTCTGCCCCAGGAAAATGGAAAACAACAAACTATGCCCCAAAAGAGGAGCAGGGGAAAAAATACATCAACAATTAGCTGCAACCAGAATTTTTAAAGCATTTATTTCAGTCAATCTACTACAGAGATCTTTATGACATTTGTATGTATTTTCCAACAAAAGATTCAATTCCTACCTTCCTTTGTCGAAGACCGATTCCTGTCAAAGCCAAGAGAGTCAAATCTGTAGCAGCCACAACATTACTGCAAAGTCATCAATGTCAAATATGCCCCAATGTTCAAACTCAACAACCTATGGACTCTTGCAGCAGTACCTGACTTGCCGAACAGTTGCACCTTTACGCCCATAATTGCCAAACCACTGAAATACACCCTTATCATAGGCAAGTTTCCAAATCACACCATGACCACCAGGCTTGCATACTGGCATGAATTGTCCACGAACAATCCATTGCCCATCTTCTGCTCTAATAGCTGGAACAAGAGGCTGCGAGCATAAATTTGAAATGACAAAATGTAACAGCAATCATATATCTCTGTAAAAAGCAATTTAACTAAAACCAACTTAGAATAAACCATCTTTTTTCCATTGTAAACCTGCTCAAAAAGTCGAAAATTAGATCTTCCTCTTCCAAACCATTCAAGTCTTTCACATAGTGAGAGAATACGTTCATGATTTTTCTTTGCAGAACTGGTCATAATAGCTACAGGAGTAATACATTGTTTTCCATACAACTTGAAGAACAAGAACTCTCTTGCCTGCCAGTAAATAAAATATCAAATCAGTTTCATGCTAAATAGAAGTCATTAGATTTCATGTTCAATCCAAAATTTAACCATTCAGTTTACTTAACAAACCAGAATCAATATTAAGTTTCCAAAGCTCAGCAAACACTGTTTCCCTACCTGAAGATCTCTTATTAAACCTTCCAGTAATGTCCTTCCACAATAAGCAAGCATAGCAGCAGGAAGACATTCACCTGTGTCAGGGTCCACCAATCCCAGCCGATCAGCGGAGCCTCCAAAAGGATAGATTTCTCCCAACTCTGGCAAACCCTGGAGACAAATCAAATTTTGTAACAAAATGAGCTCCAGCCATCTTTCTGATCCAGAATATCTTACTAGATATAAAGGGAGAGAGCTTGCTTTGGCGTAAACAATTTATCTCACTTTATGTTGTACCAAAAATACCCAATACAGTTAGTTTTTACACTATTCACATCCCCTCTTTTTCTCCACCATGATTTTACATACAATAACCCCCTCCAAAGAAAAGTAGTAATTATAGATTTTTCAAATGAACAAATACATGTCTACCATGATATGTAATAACTTAATGTGGGAAAAAAAAATCATACATCTTTTAAACTAAGCACACAAACTAGGGTATGCAAAAAGCATTAATATATATTAAGCACCTACCTCGATACCCCATAGAGCTGCTTGAGATGCATATTCGGTATCTTGAGAGAGATCAAGTACTTTAGGAGGATGAATTTCTATAAACTGGCACTGCAATGAACTTTTATTGTCCTGGGACCAATTGACTGCCTTTTCTTCACATGTTGAGTGGGCTAGAAGCTCCAGAACCATTATTTGATATCTGAAACAGTTAGCAGCATCATTTGGTCATCAAGACAGAGTTTAAGCTCAATATCACTTATACACTGAAATTTGGTGGACCTTTAACATCTTGGGCAGAACAGCTGAGACACTTCTTGAACATCTCAAATGACTAGGAGCAAAATATAGAAAAATGAGTGTGGACCAGATACACTTTACCCCCAATAAAAATTTTTTTGTTCCCGAGTTTGTTAAGAAATCACACCTTGTTTCTGTTGATTTTGTTCATCCACAATAAAACTCAACTGATGAGCATGAGATCTTCAGAATGCAGCAGATATTAATAACTCTAAAGTATTGGCATTTGTTACAGAATCACATATTTACAAACTAGAAACTGCCAAATGTAGCCAACTAATATGCAAAGTAGCAATATAATGATTTAAGAGTACCAGCATCAACTATGGGTTGCAGAAGAAGTCGAATACCTGATACAACGTATATGACTAAACAAGACATTGAAAACTTTATAAATGTTTTTCCACAATAAACTTAAGTATTCGTATACAAAGCTGGCACTCTAGTTCCTATTCTAGAGTGCTTTTCCAATTATTTTTGAGCTTAAAGATCCCAAAGAGGTAAACCATGATTTCAGTCATTCCATTGGATTGGACGTAATTTACGCCTGGATGGCAGCTAATAGAAATTGTCAGTTATTGCATTGGAGTGTAGACATCCTAAACTGTGTTTGTCCGATATCACATTGGAGGTATCCTAAAACTCTGTTTTCAGGCATCAGATTAGAGGCTTCCACCCTGTTTAGTCGCATCCGAATCTAACTATACACAAGATATGAGGAAATGAGTAAGGACCAAAGAAGTAGTATACCATGAAAAGGAGAAACTAACCCAATGATACCTCCAATGCAATCATAAAACTGCTCAACGTCTCCAAGGGTTTTCAGCAGTAACTTGAACGCGTTAACATCTTCCTCTCCGTGTCGCGAGATTTTGTTTGCCAAACCCACCTTGCTGCTCTCACCAGTGACATCCCAACTGTCAACCATCTCCGCCAGTGCATATAGTGCTCTCTTCAATGCGCTGGCCGAAGAAGAAGAGGGAGAATCAAAATCTCCGCTGTCGTCAAAATCATCCCCACGCAGCACGTGCTCTTGGCCGGCCGCAACGGCGCACTTAAGCAAATAAACTAGATAGTCATCCAATTTCAAACTCTCAAAAAACGTAAACAACTCATTCTTACCGGAAGCGGAATTGAAGAAGAACCTAACCCTAGAATCGGAGTCAAGGACTTGAAGTTTGTCTGGCAAGGAAGTAGAGTTAGAGAGGTTGGACCCAAGCGCTTTGAGTCTGGCAAGTTCCAGGTGGAAATCGAATTCGGGAGCTGGACCGGAGGCGTACTCAACGGGGGCGGTGGAAACGCGGAGACATGGCGGTGAAGGTTGCGATACAGCAGGGCATGAAGAAGAAGAAGAAAAGGACGAGGAAGTAAGAGGGCAGTAGTTAATTGATGAAAGAAGAAAAGAAGAAGAAGAAGATGAAGAGTGGTAAGACGATGACAAGAAATGCGGGAGAGGGGGCTTCGGTGAAGGTTTTGAATTATTAAGGAGGGGGCTGTTGTGGTGAAGCAGTGGCGTCACCGCCATTACTGCTCTAAGTAACCAGAGTCTGCGTGCGTATGCACTTTGCAGTGAAGATTATGGGAGTAGAGTAGCCACTGGACAGGAAGGGCTGCCTGCCTCAATCAATCCCTCAGCCCTTCTTCTTTTATTTTTATCGCTAATAATTAACGGAAACGCACAGAGGGAGGGAATAAAACGAGAGATGCGGCAAGGATATACCCTCCCCCCAACCCCATGTTTCCAATAGTTGCTCCAATCGACCAGTAGTCTTGTTGCAGAGCCTCATCTGAGTTGTGAGATGTTGATTGGTTTGGTGTATTTTCGGCCTCAACTGGATTGGCATCCTTTGTTTGTTTGGCCATGTCACATGTGTAGGTGTAGGGGGACTCTTTCTCTAATGGGTTCAAGTATGACTAAATGAGCACGTGTTTCTTTTTCTTTTAGCTTAAAAGAAAATTTAGATGGATCGAATTTCGATCATCACCACGACGACGGATCAAGGCATGACTTTGAAAAGGAACTCTCGAGAAAGTAGCTCATATCGAGTTAACTTGTGTTGACGGCACAAACAAGAGTTTACTAATGCATCATCTACTGATTTAGTATTAACCAAATTTTATTTCATTGCATAAGACTTGCATTACTGGCAGAATAAATACATGCAGAAAGAGACCAAATTCTCCTTTAGGTGCTTCAACTGCTGTATAGGTAGAAGGAGTTGGCACGGAAAAACCTTCTGAATAAGGTTCGAAATGGTGAATTGAGGTCGAGTAGACCAATGACCCTGTAGTCATTTGGCCCGCTATTGAAAGAAAAAGCTTGTGTCCAGGAAACTTTATCCCTCTGAAGGTGGGAAAAAGGACAAAACTAAATAAAACGAATTGGATTATCAGTCCAATTTTGAGTTTAAAACTCATTTAATTAACCTCTTTTGGCTAACCTGAATGGCACCTTATGAAGTCTTGTGTGTGTGTGTGTAAGCAAGTGTAGGTCACTATTGTCTTGGAGCGAAGTTGGAGAAAAGTATGTAACGGGATTGCATAAACTGATATAAAAAATTAACACAAACCAAATTTTGGAAGTTCCAAAATATATTTTAAGCTCAGTTTAATTATTAATAGTAAGTACATCATTGTTAAGCCAAGACGTCGATAGGATGATAGAATTTGACTTGATTGCTCATTAATTAAAGAGTTTGACAGTGCTTTGGTTACGCTTCGATGTATTGGATAGAGTTTCCCGGGATCAATTGCTAATTAAGGACCCTCACCAAGGATCAATCCGGCTCCGACAGGCCCAAGCTTCACGGGACACGGTTCTTAACAACTCTGACATGATGAGTTTTAGGCTTTTAGCTGATCCTGGGCCCAGTCAGCTAGCCCATGGCAAAGGAATTATTGGTGCGAATCAGATGAGTTAGGGCTTCCTCCACTTTCATGCCTTCCTGGGAAAGTGACACGTGGCAGTAACCCTGCTGGCTACCAGGCAGCCTGCTTCAAATTGCGCAACGGATCTTCCGTCCCATACCCTATATCATTGTCTGTCCCACTTTTTATTATATTGTTATTTTTTTTATATAAATATCATGTTTTAGTTCTTTTTTATTTCTTTAAAAGCCAATAACTATTAACTGAGTAATACAAAAATTCAACAAACTCAAAAAATCAAAATTCATAAAAAATCTCATTTTTTATGAATTTTCTGCTGTATTTTTTAATTTTCTACTATATATATATATTATTTTTTTGAAGCTATTGTATTTATTTTTTATTCAATTAATTGTTATTGGATCTTAAAGAAATAAAAAAGAACTAAAACATGATATTTATACGGGAGAAATAGTAATATAATAAAAACTGGGACAGAGAAAGGCATAGAGCGTGGGACAGAAGATCCGTTGGCTCCAAACTGGATCCTCCACATAAATTGCAAAACAACATGCAAGATTCCAGTTTCGATACTAATATGCAAATCAAGCAAGACGAGAAATACTAGAATAGTTGAAGAAACTTCTGTCTATAATGTGCTTGACCATCTTATTGATTTTACATTCTTAAGCAACCCCTTAAGGAAAAAAATCGACCAATTATTATCAATTCCAAAAAATTCAAAGCAGGGCCAATCTTCTGCTGACTAGTTTTGCTGCCTTGGATCCAGTAAATATCTGATCATCCAAGCAATACCAAGCACTACAAATATGTTTCTTTTGTTTGACCAATTGGGAACGTATCATCAAAGAAAGAAAATTAAAAGGAGAGAAATCTAGCTACTTCTACACTAAAAGGATTTACTGCTTCAGAGTCTTTGAATTTTATAACAGTTTGCAAAAGTCTAACACTGACCAGTAACTTTACCTGTGACCAAATTTACATGAGGCGAGTTGGCCAAATATTTATTTACCCTGAAAAGGGTGTACTTATGTTCATTACATCTCTGGGTGATTGACATTTATTCTACAGAATACATACCATACTGCACTCAGGTGAATAATGGATTCCCTTTTAATCCTTTTCAGTTTAGGCGATGATTGAGGGATCTGTAACATTGTGCAAACACCACTTGTTTTGGTGGGAAGAATGAAGTTTGTGGAGTTTCATTCAGTGGAAATAACTACTTGCCATCTGTTAATGGTTAAAACTTTAATGGAAAACTATCCCTACTTCAATATTTGCCTCCAAGACAACAGCTCCACTGGGAAGAGCAAACAACTTTGCCGCGTATGGCATGGAAACCGGTCATGGTCCAACCATAAAGCTTTGCGATTTAAAATCAATTTATTACCCCCTGTTTACCTAATGTCTGATTCCATTGCAATGTGGATACTAGCCATAGGAAAGGAAAACATATATGTGTATAAAATGATTGCCAATCTGTCATGTTGAGTACTGCTGCACCCAAGAAACTGGAAAAATTCTTTGTAAAAGCGGATCTGCCATGAATCAGTGTACGTACTTCAAGTTTTCTATTATAAATGCATGAACCACCCACCAAAAGATCAGAAGCAACTACTATCAGCGAAATTCTTAAAGACTTCCACTTCCAAGGATTATGCATGCTAAAGTGATTTTGCCTGGAATTTCTTTCAAAAAGTTCAAGCAGCATCTTAAACGCTACAACAGTCTATGTGTGATGCTTCTTCTTATGCCTGTAGAAAATGCACAACATTCTTCCTCACACACACACACACACTAACGCACAGATATAGACAGATGGAAGCTGGTAATACTTGGTACCCTTCTGATAATCATAATCTATTGCTTACCGTATGATGATACTCATCAACAGCATTGTTGTTAAGCACTATTCCGAATGTGCGATAATTAATTATGTCGAATTGAACCACTGTTGTGAAATGACCTTGAGTTGATTAACTATGTGAGTTCCAACAAAAAATTTTTAATTTCCCATCAATCTGAAAAATATACCAATCATTAGCACTGTGACAGATAATATACAATTTAGTTGCTTTTGTTTTCCTCTTGACTTTCATTTGTTGATCATAAAGCTTTCTCCTCCCCAGAAAAACCTTAACTAATAAGAGCGCAAATACTCCGGCCATTCAGGATTCAATCCAAGGTGCCATATCACAAAATCATGAGACTGGTGATGGCCATGATTAGCACTGTCACTGCGTTGTGCTTATGACCCTTTTGCATTGGTACTAAATCAAGAAATGTGAAGTGAGGAGGACTAACATTGATATGATTCCTTTTGTATTGGCAGTATGGAGAAGGGGAATAATTCTTTTGACTCGATAATTTAGATACTTAGTCCCCCATTGGAAGAGGTTAATCTCTCCTAAACTGAAAATGATGAAGATTTATTAGGTGTTTTCTGTCGAACGTACAAAAAGATGATCGTCAAAAATATAAATCCTAACTAGGAGGTGTACCTTGTAACTTATTAAATATCTTCAGACAGGGAAAATGAAAAGGAAATCCTTGGGCTCATATATTGAATGCAACTCATATACTGATAGTCGATCCAACTCCACGCCAATACATTTCTCGCATAGTTGACGGATTGATTTCAATAAACTAATTTTGGTGATTGTGAAAATCTTTTAAACTGCTTTATCTCAGAAATTCAACATTTCTAAGTTCCCAAAAAAAAAAAGAAAATAATAGTAATGATCATAAATATTTTAGCTGAAAACTAAAATCTACATTATTTTTCTGATAATGCTCAACATCCAATGCATAAATTTATTGCTCATAGAAAAATCTATTTTTTTGCACAGATTAGCATCCCAAGGCTAAATATTTAGTAATTTATGCAGAGAAACTGACAATAAAACAAAACTAAACTGATGACCTTACCTTGCACACTGGTAGTATAAGACAAAGTTCTGCACATTGACATAGGTATTGACAAATGACAAGTACCTCAGAATCTCACTTCTGATTGTCTTGTTCATAAAGTCAGATCAAGGGTACTTGCCGTTCTCGCATGCTTTCTAGTATTACCATGAATTTCCTCTAAATTTCTGCTAGACACTGGTGTTGAGGACGGGAATAAAGAGAGAGATAAAGAATTATCTGTTCCATCAACCTTCAATCTTCTGTTATCTCTCTCGTCTGTTTGCCTTGGCGTTGGTAGAGACAGGTTCAAGTCAAGATTCATATCGGAGTCTGCTGAGGCCTTTCTTTTCAGTAAGTTGATCCCTTCTTGAACAGCATGTGGTTTTTTGCCGGGAGAAAGAGGGCCTCGAAAATCAGCATTAATTTGTTCTGATCTCCCTCTATCGTGCAATTGCGACATCAGACTTGGTTTTACATTTGAACTCGTCCCAGTCCCAGATTGGGTTCGCCAAGGTCTTTGACCGGAAAAAAATTGGGTCTCGTTCTCATTAGCAAGAATATTCCTCCATGAAGATTGTCTAGCCGCGTTGAATTCATGAGAACCATAAAGATGTCCAACATTGTTTCTCCCAAAAAACTTGTCAGCAGTTCCAAATCCATGTCTAGTAAAATTTGATGGAGGACCTCCATAATTGTAAGGACCATGGTAATTTGTCTGCCGACTGTTCCAGAAAGTATTCCCATATCTTGAAAAAGATGAGACAAACATTTAAAATCAACATGAATGGCCTAAATGATGCTAAATTGGTAGTAGCGGTAAGTAGGCATTTATGCAATTCGTATACACCTTAAAGAACCGGAACTAGAGAAATGATCAAAAGCTTGAAGCATCGGAAGTTTGCT